TACACTAAGTACTTAAACATTACACGTTCAACCCAGTCTATAACAAACGTTAAAACCATGGTAATGTAAAGATCAGACGATGGGAGAAAGAAACAGGTATGGCTGTCAAGAAATATGACGGGTTATGGAGACGTTGGAGAGGACGATGGGAAAACTGCAAATGAGTCTACGCTGAAATTAATTGAGTTATGATCTCACGGAAAGCCGAAGTAACGCTAGGTGTTGAGATGTGGGGGGGGGGGGGGTAGAAACTGGCATTCGTGTGTCAATAAGTTTTGGCGATTTCTCAAGTGATGTCTTACGAGTCTGGCAGCGGCCACGTCTCCACCGTGTCCAAACTATTCCAAGAGACTTTTAGAGTCGCGCTCTGGAAAAAGCGCGTTATTCGGAGCGATTGTTAACGCGACGAAATTTTGCCCGCGAACGACTTGTCATATGCGAGACCGATTGACCAATTGTGAGAAATGCAGCTTCCAATAAATCGATGCTGTTCCAAATCAAATTACTCGGAGCAAAACCTAAAAATACATTTAACTTCCCAGCCAGACCGGCTGCAGTTTATTGAATTATCCCATTGTGGGAGGTTTAGGCAAATTTTTATTCACTCGCGTCCACACTTCGAGTATAATATATATGTATATCCATATTATAGCGCAAAAAATGTATACATCTATGTAGAGAAAGAAAGATTGACCGGAGAGCAGTGCGTAACTCAAGCAGAAATGCAAATTTACCTGAACAACAACGAACGTACATCGGAATTAACGTCGCCTTGCTACGTGCAGATCATTATTCTACTCTGTACATCGTGAGTTATTCGTGTACAAAAGATCGAAATGCAAATACATCTTATTTCCTTAATCGAATCGCGCTACGCGTAATTATCACTTTGCCTCTGTTAAAATGCGTATGCATGACGTGATTGAAGAGTGATCTTACGTGTATATATTCTTTTGGCACCTTGTTATAATATAACTTCACATATTATGATCGTTCAAGAAATGGCCGGGGAGATTGCTATTCTCAAGGGACAAACGATACAAAAGCGCCTCAATCGATCGCATTTATTGTTTCCTCGCATTTGTGTTCTCGGCGAAATCAAGAGATCGGGTGGATTAGAACCGAGTCCGAGAGAAGAAGAAGCAAATGACGTGAAAGATACGTGACGGATCAACATTTTGCCGTCGAATTCGCAGGTCGACCGTGAAAATTCCAGCTCAAGCATAACGAAGGGTATGAAGGGGACAACTTCGAAGTGCATGTACCGAACTCGAGGGCGACTGAGAGAAAGGGGATCGTATATATCTTTTAACGCTTTTAACACCCTGTGTAACACGCGGATAAATGCTAGGAACGATCCTACTGTATTTCACGGTATTCAACAATAGAGGAGGGAAAAGGTGGAGGGGGGGGGGGGAGGGGAAGGGGGCGCGCTCTCTCTGCTAAATTCCCACGGTAACGAACTTCGAAGCACCCATGCTTATATACCATCATTTTAACGTGATACGTAAACCGGGAAACACTCTGTATCTTATATACAATGTATACAGGCTACGACATACAAATATTAATCTAATCCTCGTGCTACTCGATACTTCCGCATAATAATATACCAGTATAACCATTTACTCACATGTTGCGTGTTCACATACACGTGTATGTGCATGCGTGCACATGTGTATACATACACGCGCGCGCACATACGTATATATGCATATGTGTGTGTGTGTGTGTGTGTGTGTGTGTGTGTGTGTGTGTGTGTGTGTGTGTGTGTGTGTGTGTGTGTGTGTGTGTGTGCGTGTGTGTATAATAGTCTATTTTATACTCGCTCCGTGTTTTTGTTTTTGTTTTTTTCTTCGCTAATCTCGCTACGGTATCCCCTCTCTTCCGCGTGCGCGGTAGAAGACTATTGTAATTACGAAAAATCGGCAACACCTTCGATCCAAATGTAACGCTTAAAATGTAAAAATATTTCCGGGGTATATATATATCTGTCGCGATTGCAAAAGGAAGGTGCGGGAAATGGGGTACGGTAAAATGGGGTACGTTGAGGTGAGGGAGCAGGGTGGAATTTATCGGGAAGGGGGGCGGGGAGTACATAGATAAGTTCTTTAATAACGGCACCTCTCTCTCTCTCTCTCTCTCTCTCTCTCTCTCTCTCTCTCTCTCTCTCTCTCTCTCTCTTTACCCCTCATCACAAATGTACACGTAAGAAAGAAACGTGCTCTCGGTTTCCTACCGCAATCTCGCGATATCCTGATATTCGCGGTATCCCGGCGAATCGTTCGTACGCGGAGAAACGTCGCTCGCGTTCGAAACTTTTCGAGGGAGAGTCCACGTCGATCGCGACACGCACGATGCACGAGCTCGCGAGTTTGTATGACCTTTGGCGTTGGCCAGCGTCGTCTCGACTCGAGTGGCGAGCGAAGAGCTGAAAGGGCGAACGTAATTAAGAGGGCACGAACAGTCTTCCTCCGTCCATTCTTTTTTTCTTTTTCTTTAAGGAAGCTGCGTCGTTAAGTCCCGGGTATTATGCCAGTCGGACGCTCTTGTCCCGGCGAGCAGCAATCTCGGTTCGGCTGGCTCTCCTCTGCGGTGTAAGTCGCGCTAACGACGGACACTTTCCGCCGACAAACTTGTTGGATCCGCGAGCGACGCTCAACGTGAAACTCGGTTTAAACACAACGTGGATCGTCCGTCTTCTTTAGCATTTTTTTCTTTTTCTTGACTTTTTTTTTACATTAACGGCGCACACTCTGCGAGCGTGCCGAGCAAATTCGCGCGTGAATTTGGACTCGTGTTTCTATATTATTGTTAACAACAGCAGACTATCAGGTATAACGTAACATTACCTCCTTTCTTCCCCTCCCCTTCCCCTCGATGTGCGGGGTGCATCCGTCGCACTTCGGCGCGTCAACATTTCCAAGGAATCGCACTTAGAGTTAATCAACGCCTCTCCCTTACCGGGCCCTTCTTCGGTGATAATCAGGAGTCGCGCGAACGGGAGATTCATGCGAGTCATCCGCGGATAATCACGAGCAACGCTAGCCGTAGAAGCGTAACGAACCGGAGGGCAGGGACGGGCGAAACCGATTGATCGTATCGATACGAACTAATTTCTCCGCTCTCCGTAAATCAGTTGCTGACGGATTTAGATTTTCCTAGTTTAATCCGCGCCGCGCGTCAATGGGGTACTGGAATAACTCCTCGAACTTCACATATGAATGAATTACTGCAGGCCCCAATAGTTGAATAACAACTCGCGATTGAAGTTAATTCGTTGAATCTAGTGGTACGCCTGCACGTGCATACCAAGCATGTCGAGTTGCTGCCCAACTACCCCGTTTCAGCCGAGTGAAATCCCAAAATTCGCGAGTGCAGAGTCACACAAAAATTCATCAACTGCCGTTTCATTCACTTATCTCGCATACGTCACTATTTCGTTTAAATGAAATCTCTTTAGGGGCGCCTGTTACATTTTTAACGATCGCTTCACGATTAAAACGATTGGTTGTCCGTGACAATCGGTGGAACTGATCAGTCACCGATCAATGCCCATCCCTACGAAGATACCGCTTACTCCCTATCTCGAAATGTTTCGCCCTTTGCCGGGAGGGGCGCGCTCTGGTAGTAACAGAATTATTACTTATTATTTCGCCCGTTCGTTTTTTGTTGCACTCTCAAAGCGTCCTACATCACGAACATCAACGTCGGAAGCTACTGTAGTAACCTGTATTTGTTTTTTTTTCTGCCAGCATCCGTGTTTTCCGCGGATCTAACTCTTATTTCAACAATTGCACGTATACGTCGAAAGTAACAGTCGTAGAACGTACCTCCGTGAAAAAAATGGCAGAAACGCGATCGCAACGTAGAGCCAAAGTAATTTGCAGCCGAAGTTAACTCCTAAAATCCACTCAAATCGGCTTGTCCCTAAAAGTGATCGGCTGTGCGTATCTACAACCTGTAAGCGAGGTGGTTCCGATAGGGTCGCGCGCTCAATTTCAAAACTTTGTTAGCAAAGTAATTCCAAAAGCCACGTTGGATGTAGGTCCCGATGCAATTGCGAGGGCTACTATATACTTTATCGCTAACGTCTTTTCACGTACACAGCGAGTGTATGCTTGCTCGATGAACGTAGGTTCCCGAAATTATTCAGAAATGATTAAAAGTAAAAGAGATGCAAAGTTCCCTCAATGCGTTTTGAGTCTTGGACAAAATATGCAATTATTACATGCGTGCAGCCCTCTAAACCGTCTGAATCATTGAACCACAATGTTTACCTCGGAAAAACTAAATATGATTTTACTGCAAACGGGACGAGGGAGATATCCGGATTCGGAATTCCAAATGGCATTCAGATCCATCGAAAGCTAGAACAATCGGAAATATCAAAGCTAAAACTTTCAGAATTTATATCTGTTTAAGGTAGCGCAGAAAAGGCTGTTATTACTTTTTTTTTATACAAATCAGTATGAATCAACGTTTCAAAGCTTTATAAAATTTATATTGTCAAATTGAAGTCGTTTTAGGTTTCTCCATGTCCGAAACGACAAGGTTTAAAAAACGATTTGTAATCTCTTTAATTTATTCACAAACGTAATGGCCGTAATTTCGATTTTGCCCTAAGCCGTCGTATACCTAAAAATGTTAATCACAGTATAACTAGTAGGTCCACACTCTGCCGGCCCCGTTGATCTTTGCGGTCCCGATCACGCGGTATCCCGCCATGCAAGATCCAGCGATGTGTGTGTGCGTACACGTACTCATCAAAGCCACGCATACAACTTTTCTCTCACTGGACTGCCCGGAACAATGTCGGATGCGCAGAAGGGATCGACGCGAAACGAAACAAATGACGGAGTGGACAGTTAGTTATACTATGATGTAAATAAGCCATTAACGAGAAGGCCCGCGTCCACGATGCTTGGCCCAAGTTCTAGTTCCGAGAAATGTGTAGCCAGTCAACTTGCCGCTTTTTATGGAATAGCTGCAAGTTGATTGACCGCACATTTCTCGAAACCCGAACTTGGACCAAGTTCTAGCATTGTGGGCACAGGCCTTAAGAAATTTCGTTGGAGGAATGTCCCAGGGAAAAGAGGAGCAAACCTCCGGGAAATTTGTCGTAGGCAACTTTGAGGACGCGGATGCAAAAGTGCAAGCAAATTATACCCAAATTAAAGCAGACTCGTGCAGATCCGTTTGCCGTTTGTTATAGCACGTTTGCACGGAAGTTTCAACTCCTATAACGAAGGTTCGGTTATATAAACGATAAGTCTCGCGGCAGATCCTGGTCACGCAATATATCTTAACACGTAATAACGTTTAATAGAAATATAAACGCCTTGAATACGAATTTGTAACATCGCCATTGCGCGCAAGTAGGTATTATTCATTGTCTTAGAAAGCTCGTCGACTTTTGCAGTTCAGGTTCCATTCGACGCGAGATAATTCTCTCCAATGAGACAGTCCAAGGAGCAAGTGAAAGAGAGCGATACGTAACGTATGCCGATCGTATTGCTTTATCGCTTTTGATCGACACCAGCGATACTTCCGTGCCATACGCAAATCTCCGATGTACGAGCTCCGACAAAAGCTATCACACTAATCTGTCAACCGTATTAATAATAACGCGAATGTTTTCTCCATAAAAATACCGTTCTTACTTTGTCGAAGAACTCGACGCGTATCTCCGTCCGTCTACTTGCCCCTTTGATTTTTACGTCCCCCAATTCCGATATGATCTCAAGCGCGTGTAAACTCGAACGATGAGAGACAAAAGCCTCGCGAAACGCCTACGGGATGTACGCGCTCTAAAGAGGTCAAACGTCCATCAGACGCTCGCGCGAAATTTGAGCTCGTCCTGGATGCGAACGGCCGATTTTACCCGCGGTATAATTTATCCTTCGTAGATCACGTGTCGTTAAACACCGCACCGGGCGGCGACGAGGCGGACACGGACAGGGAGAAGAGGACGAGGGGAGAAGAAGAGGGTGAAAATAAGGAGAACGGGCATCTCTGAGTGCCCGGGGTGGCCGCCCGATTGCGCTACGACGGAAGACTGAGTCTTCTCTCCGTAGCCGCTTGTCGTCCCTCCTCTCGTGGACGCGGACTGGCCGCCGTCGACGATTAATTTCTTCAAGGTGCCGGCGCATCCCGTCGCTCTTATCGCCTAATGCCCGGTCGCATCGAACAACGCGTTTACAACGCTCGATCGCACGGCCGAAGAAACGCCCGACAGATTGAAGGTTTGTCGTTATACCAACAACGATAACGGCGATTCGTCACGATCGTTGCTAGTTAGTGCGCGACGATAGCTCAACAACGGGCGATAACGCCTCGGATCCCTAATCGCGATTTAACACTGTAACCGGCACTGCTCCCCGACGACCAGCGTCGCTAAGAGTGCCCCGCGCGATGCGGAGGGAATATTGTACAGTCGTCGGAGGGGTATACGGTGGACTCTCGTCGAGATCGGTTGCGGGTGGAGGATATCGAGCAAAAGAGGAGCAAAAAAAAAAGAGAGTTGTCTCGTTAACGTTAACTTTGACGGGCGACGCGCCCCCGAGGGGGAGGAATCCGCCCAGACAGAATATCATTTGTCGTCGATCAGGGTGAGCGTGTCCTTTACTCGGGCTTCAAGCGATGCCACTGCACAATGGTCTGCCTCGGCTTTGTGATCATGTCCTGCCAATGTTTCGTCTCGCTCGCGCCGCTTCCATTTTTTCCTGGAAAGGAAGTTACGTCGTACATCTGCACGCCGATCTCCAATTTCAATTTGCTATCGGTTTCCAGGACGTTTTTGTTACAACGGTTACTTGATTACGCGCCGAAACGTTCGGCTACTTAAGCGCAAAAAGGACCTGGAGCTCCGTTAAAGTCCCGGGTACGAGTTACATCGCGCAGCTATTGAAATTCTAAACAGTTTCGCTTCGGGCGTGCAACATATCTCATAGCTATGCAGGATGCGCTAACGCAACTTGACAAACCCGACGGTGAGACGAATGGCAATTTAAAAAATTCCGAAAAGCCAATGAAATATGTTACACTCAGCTTTCAGCCTATTCTCAATGGTATCGTAATTATCATTCAGAAATCAAAACGGAAATAAAAAGCTGCCGATATTCTGGAGTTGGGCGTGTTTGCCCCCAATTGTAATTAAGAAACTTCAGAATCTTAGCTCGGCAATTCGTTACTTTAGATAGGCCGGTGGTAAGAGATTTTCACACTTGACGACGCGTTATCGAGAAGTTTAAAATACCTGCGAGCTGAATTCGGCCGATCAATTCGTTTCGTCCAATGTTGTCGAAATCCATCACCATTACGTCCAAAGAGCATTCCCTGATCTTCTCCCAAGGTACGTTAAAGGAGAATACCTCGTTAAATACTGGATTCAAGGTGCATTTGAAAATGGGAGTCTTGCGTTTCTCGATCCTCTTGTCGCCAAACTGTAGCCACACTTTGACGTACGGATCTGGAATTATTAATCAATTAATTACCCACCCCGGTTTCCCGTCCTCGCGATTGCGAAAGGATATAATAAAATGCGTCGCCGCGCAAGATACGCTTTAATACAATATCGCCCCCCCCCCCCAAAAAAAAAGATATTTGCGCAGCGCAGATTCTACTCTAAATGTTTCCTTCAGAAAAAAGAGCATGTACCTGCATCAAAGTGTACAATTATATTATACGTGTATAAGTTTTCGAAAGTGTTTATAAGTGCCCGCGGGGTTTACCGGAGGATGCATGAACGAAACGGTGAACGTAACGTTACCTGATTTTCCGTTGATATCCTTAGCTTTGAGATTCCTCGCCTTCAAGAGAGTCAACGTCAATATGGAATTACTCGGATGATAGCACAGCGAGCACAAGAGTTCTCCGCATTTATCTTTAGCCGGCGGCTTAAGGGCCTTCCAAAACGACGGTTTCTCGGATAGATCGACCTATGACAAACAAACCCGCGAGATATTGCTGATAACTAAAGTTTCGTTAACAATTGTCAAACTAATTAACGGAACGAGATTCCAAAATGTAGAACTTAACGGGGTGGCAAGAGAGATTATCTTGCCCCATTATATGTGAGTATTAACAAGTTTCAAATCATTTTCATAGACTATTAATTCCATGGCCAAACAACGTGCGGTTTCGTAAACACATTCAGATATAATGAAATCAAAATAGAGACGAAAAGTTTTTCTCGATGCTCGCCCCCCCCCCCTCTCTCTCTCTCTCTCTCTCTCTCTCTCTCTCTCTCTCTCTCTCTGCACATCTTTATTAAAAATTGTACAATCTCTTTAGGGCAAGGGGAGAGCATTTGCTACATTATCATTAATACCTCCGTCACGTTTGTCTCTTATTAGGGCGTGCGGCGAACGCGAGATAATTAGTATTCCGTCGGGGGTGATCACGTGCGGACGTAATAGTTAATTGATATCATATGTTGCAAATTGCAAATGCGAAATTTTTGCAGCATAAACACGCCCTGAATTGCACGAATGTGTTCGCGCCTCGCGCGAACGACGGAACGGTCTCGTTCGGAAATTTCACCCGCCGATCGCGCTCCGCGCGCGAGGCAAGTTTATCTGTCCGAAATTATCACGTGTTTTATTACATCGCCGTTGCTATTATTAAATTGTTTTATCACGGCCGTATTACGGACGTCCGTACGGTATTCTGATGTAATGTTAATCTTTCCGTATATAAACACGCCGGTATGCGATGCGTGAGATTCGCGCGACGACTGATTCGCAACGCCGGCATGTATCACGAATTGCTCTTGGGAAATGAATGTGTGCATAGGATAGAATTATCACACGCGCGTGTCCCCCGGTGTTATTGTGCGCGCAGGATTAATCCACCGCCCGGTAATATTGATATCGGACTGGAATTATGTTATTATGTGGTCCCCCGATACAATTAACAAATTAAAAGTGTTCCCGCCCGCTTGCGCGTGTGAAAACCAATTGCCGGAAGTTCCTTCTCGCAGTATTCTTCAAGAATTGCTTTCCGAAAGAGCTCAGAGTTAATTTAGACAACATTTTGTTGCTTGGTAATCTTGCAAAAGCTCCTGCTTTACAGAAGCAAATTTTTA